TTAATCATAACAAAACCCCTCAAAACTTACTTTTCAAAAGCAGAATCACAACAGATAACCCAGGCTTTTCTAGAAGGCAGAGGGCATTTCCACACAAGTTAAATGCTGTTGGGAAGTGGGGGGTTTTCCTTGCTTCCCCACAGCATCATGGTGTATTTGTATCTCCAGCTTTTCTCTGAACTTTCTCAAACCTGCTTTGCTCTGACGTTTTTGGAAAGAGCATAGTATAGCCTGGATGGCTGCTCCATGAGAGGGGAAATTCAGATTTTCCTGCCCACATGGCAGCCATTTCCCCTGTCCCTGTGGCAGCCTTTTCCTTCCACTGGGGGGCTTTTAAAGTTTTTTTTAAAAAAATTGGCGCTTGGAATACTGTAACTGTATGTATAACAGGTTCTCTAAATTCTCAGCTTTTATTTTTTAAAGTTTGTAGTCCCTTACATCTAGAAAAGGCATATCATCTCAGCAGAAAGGGGGTAGAGACTTACTTTTTAAATGAAAGCTGGGAATTCACAGAACTGCTAAACCTATTATTACGTATATTGAGATAACAACTGTAGCATGTGGGAGATACTGTACACTATGTTTTATATTGCCCTTTTTATGGGGCATTTGAAACAAACTGTCGAATCAGTTCATTGTACATTTTCCTGACTCAGATGAGGAATGTATTAATTTTTTAATTGGCAGACAGTATCCCTTTTGTTACCCTCAAAATGACCACTTTAATCTTTTTAGCAATAAATATAAGAGAGAAATTAGTACCTGTTAATTCTGCAAAAAAATTAGGTAAACCGTAGTTTTATGTCGTATCATTGATATTTTATTCTGTTGTATTTATTTTTTACCATTTTACTTTTAAACTTCTAAGTTTTACTCTGCTATGTAATAATTTCTTTTTGTTGTGATAAATGTATTGATGTATGTTGGTATATATGTTGGGTTGTTATGGCCTATGGCTACAACAACAATAAAGAATAAATGTTACCAATTCACTGTAGCACAATTAAAACAATAGTGGTGTTATTGATATGGTTATATAACCATCTGTACCAGCGAGTAGTGCTGTTGCACATCTGGTTATGGGTTAAAAAGGTTTCCCATGTTCAAAAGCCAGTTGAATCCGACACTAAGGGGAGTTGCTCATCTCTGTTTCCAAGTTGAAGAGGCAGTGCTGTCCAAAGACATTTCCTTGGTCATGTGGCCAGCATGACTAAACGCCAAAGCACACGGAATGCTGTTACCTTCCCACTGAAGCCATACCTATTTGTTGTTGTTCAGTCACAGTCGAGTCCGACTGTTCACGACCCCATGGACCCCAGGCCCTCATGCCTTCCGCCGTTCTCTGGAGTTTGCTTAATTTCATGTTTGTTGCATTGATAACACTTTCTAACCATCTCATCCTTTGCCGTCTCCTTCTGCTTTTACTTTCAATCTTTCCCAGCATCAGTGAGTACTCCCTTCTCATTCAGAGGCCAAAAAGTATTTGAGCTTCAGCTTCAGTATCTGGCCTTCCAGGGAACAGTCAGGATTGATTTCTTTTAGGATTGACTAATTTAATCTCCTTGCAGTCAAAGGGACTCACAAGAGTCTTCTCCAGCTCCATAATTCAAAAGCATCTATTTTTCAGCGCTCGGCCTTCCTTATAGTTCAACTCTCGCAGCCATACATTACTACTGGGAATACCATTGCTTTGTCCATACGGACTTTTGTTGGCAGGGTGATGGTCTCTACTTTTTATTATGATGTCTAGGTTTGCCATAGCTTTCCTCCCAAGAAGCAGGCGTCTTTTAATTTCATGGCTGCAGTCACCGTCTGCAGTGATCTTGTATCCCAGGAACGTGAGTTCTGTCACTGCTTCCATGACTTCCCCTTCTATTTGCCAAGGAGCGATGGGGCCGGAAGCCATGATCTTAGGTTTTTTGATGCTGAGTTTCAAGCCAACTTTTGCACTCTGCTCTTTCACTGTAAGCAAGAGGCTCTTTAGGTCCTCTTCACTTTCTGCTATTAGAGTGGTATCGTCTGCATATCTGAGGTTGTTGATGTTTTCCCGGCAGTCTTAATTCCAGCTTATGATTCATCCAGGCTGGCATTTCGCATGATGTACTCTGCATATAAATTAAATAAGCAGGGTGACAATACACATCCTTCGTACTCCTTTTCCTATGCTAAACTGATCAGTTGTTCCATATCCAGTTCTAACTGTTGCTTTTTGACCCTTATACTCAGTTTCTCAGGAGACATGTGAAGTGGTCTGGTACTCACATCTCTTTAAGGACCTGCCATAGTTTGTTGTGATCCACACCATCAAAGGTTTTAGTATAGTCAATGAAGCAGAAGTAGATGTTTTCCTGGTACTCCCTTGCTTTCTCCATAATCCAGCGAATGCTGGATATTTGATCTCTAGTTCCTCTACCTCTTTGAAACCCAGCTTGTACTTCTGGCAGTTCTCTATCCACGTACTGCTGAAGCCTAGGTTGTAGGATCTTGAGCATGACCTTGCTAGCATGTGAAATGAGTGCAATTGTGCGATAGTTTGAACATCCCTTGGCATTGCCCTTCTTTGGGATTGGAATGTAAACTGACCTTTTCCAGTCCTGCGGCCACTGTTGCGTTTTCCAAATTAGCTGGCAAATTGAGTACAGCACTTTAACCGCATCATCTTTTAAGACTTTGAATAGCTCAGCTGGGATACCATCACCACCGCTAGCTTTGGTGTTAGTAACCCTTTCTATTTGACTTCACACTCTAGTCAGAGATCACACCGTTGTGGTTGTCAAGGACATTGAGGTCCCTCTTGTATAGTTCTTCTATGTATTCTTGCCATCTCTTCCTGATCTCTTCTGCTTCTGTTAGGTCCCTACCATTTTCCTTTTATCATGTTTGGTGTAGTGGTTAAATGTGTGGACTCTAATCTGGGAGAACTGGGTTTGATTCCCCACTCCTCCTCTTGTACCTGCTGGATGACCTTTGTCAAGCCATAGTTCTGGCACAGCTGTTCTTGAAAAAGAGCCGTTTCTGTCAGAGCTCTCTCAGCCCCTCCTACCTCATAGGATGCCTGTTGTGGGGAGGGGAAGGGAAAAGAGTTTGTAAGCCGCTCTGAGACTCCTCTGGGTAGTGAAGGACAGGGTAATAATCCAATCTCTTCTCTTCTTCTTCTATCATGACCAGCTTTGCACAGAACGTTCCCTTGATTTCTCCAATTTTCTTGAAGAGAACTCTAGTGCTTCCCATTCTATTGTTTTTCTCTACTACTTTGCATTGTTCATTCAGGAAGACCTCCTTATCTCTCCTTGCTGTTCTCTGGTAATCTGTATTCAGTTGGATAAATCTTTCCTTTTCACCTTTGCCTGTCACTTTCCTTCTTTCCTATGCTATTTGTAAAGCCTCATTAGACAGCCACTTTGCTTTCTTGCATTTCTTTTTCTTTGGAATGGTGCTGATTGCTGCCTCCTGTACAATGTCACGAACCTCCGTCCATAGTTCTTCAGGCACTCTGTCTATCAAATCTAGTCCTTTAAACCTATTATCCACCTACATTGTATATTCATAAGGGATGTGATCTAGGTCACACCTGAGTGGCCTAGTGGTTTTCACAACTTTCTTCCGTTTAAACCTAAATTTTGGCAATGAGTAGCTCATTATCTGAGCCACAGTCAGCTCCAGGTCTTGTTTTTACTGACTGTATGGAGCTTCTCCATCTTTGACTGCAAATGATATAATCAATCTAATTTTGGTGTTGCCCATGTGGTGATATCCATGTTATTTATCTACTTGCGTGTATCTATTTATCTACTTGCAGTTTATTGCCTCCAAACTGCTAGGTTGGCAGAAGCTGGGGCCAGGGATGGGCGCTCACTCCGTCCCGCAGCACTAGGGTCTCGAACTGCCTAACTGCAGACCTTCCTGTCTGCAGCTCAGCGTCTTAACCTCTGAGCCACCACGGCTATATTATTTCTAGTTATTTCTATATTAGTTCTAGTTCTGGGAGACTTGACTGTTTAACTGTTGTAACTGTTCTGTGCTGGAGATCACCTGGAAACCTTTGATTACAGTGGTTTCTTTAAACAAATGTGTTATCCTCTGAATGATAAATGACAAATTCAAGTCTGTACAAAAATATCAGTTTGGAGTCCACTTGCAGATAAGTTGATGCTATACCAACTCCTATCCTTTGCCTCCCCAAAATTCCTTTTCTGAAATGTTAATATTTATCAGATAAAAGAGTCTGGCATTGATGAATAAATATTGTGGGTTCAGGAAAGGATGGTTAAATGTAATGGGATTTCAGAGACGTATTCCCTTAATGAACCATGAAGTGGGTAGGCAAATGCTATATGATTGGATCTGTGCTGGCATAGCCGTAGATTACATAGCCATTAATATTTTGGCGGTGATAAACTCAGAGATCATGTTTAAACCTCTCATTAATATGTTCTTGGTTTATTCAGCCTAACTGGAAAGACATTTCTTTCAAACAAGCCAAAGGGGACCTGACAGTTGTAGTACAATAGCAAGGCGAAATGCAGTTCTTACTAAATATAATCTGTACCTATCATGATTAAAGAGAAAATGATTGGAACTCAGGTTACTTTCCACTCCAATTTCTCATGTCCTTTGTTAAAATATTTATTCTTGCAAAGGAGACTAGCTCGTTTTAATCATATACAGTGCGTTGATTAAAATGATATATGACATTATATTTTAGTCATGATTTGTCTAACACACCATTTTCCATGTGGTGGTTATTGATACTAAGAAATATATTTTCTACAAGGTGAAAAGGCACTTAAGTGATCTTTTCTAAGATGAGATAGGACTCTAAGCTCTAGAAGTATGTTGGAGTGAACTGGGCAAAGCATTTCACAACCTAAAGTAGATTTCAGTTGGATCACTTTGGAAGAGGTTTTCTAAGATAATGGAAACACTTTCTTTTCCACTTCTTTTTTGTTATGGTTACTTTATAATGCAGCTATTTACTCATAAACATTTCAATTTTGCAGGGTCAGAGGACTACAGGAGTAAGTTCAGTGGGGAGTGCTTCATGGATCTTGTCTGTCCTGAGAGGTGCCGCTGTGAAGGAACGATTGTAGATTGTTCCAACCAAAAACTCACCCAACTTCCCAGTCATCTCCCAGAATATACCACAGATCTGTAAGTGTTCCACTTTGAACAGCAACAATTAATAGAATGCCTAACAAGTAAAATAGTTTTGTTAATTCTGGTTTTGTTGGCCAAGTTCGGAAATTTCAGAGAAGTAAAAAGGCCAGTAGGTATGGGCCAGTATATTTGGGTTGTGTATTTGTTTACTAATTAACATAAAATGAAACCAAAAAGTTAATGCTATTGTTAAAACAAACACTAATATGAAAACTAGCAACACTTAATTTTCATTTGCCTTTGTTATTCTGAAACCCCTAGTTGTCATTTCTTAACCTACAGACTATTTTAAGGAACAGACCTTAATATTCACTCTAAATATACATACTACAGTGTCAAAACCTGCATTTTAAAACCTGTAAAATATATCCAAAATGCTGTGGCAAAGTCATGTTGTCACAGAAACAAAACATTGTAAGTCTGCATTTCTTTATTCTGTATTGTTGAAACTGTGTTCAAATGCTATTTGCTTTCCAATTTCTTTTTAAATGAAAGGCTCAAGTTAAACATATAATTGTTGCATACATTATGATTAAACAATTTGTGTGTCAGATTCAGCACTTTGTATTTTGACTGAAATGTGAAAAGAAAATAAATATGTCATAGCCTCATCTCATATGAAATTACTAGGACAGGCATCATTGTTTTTCTGTTGCAATGGCATGATGGCCTCCTAAAGGTTTATCAAGAAGTGTTTATCAAGAGTACTTGAGTGGTTTTTCCCCAAACAAACTGAAAATATACTGGTTTTTTTCCTTAATGTCACAGAGTTTGAATATGGAGCATTGCAACTTGAATCTGCAATTCAGATTAACATTACAAACAACATTGGCAGATAAATGATCATTTGTGTTAATAAATTATAATTCTCTTTTGTTCTTGTTAATTTGCATGACAGATCTGCATGCCACACTGATACGTCCAAGACTATGACATGTTTTTATTGTTTTTTCATAAGGCGCTTACATGACAATGACATTTTTGTTCTTGAAGCTACTGGAATATTCAAGAAGCTCCCCAGTTTACGGAAGATGTAAGTTCTGTTTCTTTTTAATTATTAGGATACATAGTGAGGCTCAACAGAAATTAACTGATTAAAGCAACAGTCCTGTGCACATTTGTTTGGAAGTAAATTAATCACTTTACTTCCAAGTAGACATGCCCAAACATGCTCATGATGTTTGTCATCAATTATGGTATCTTTCTGGACTGCTTTTCAGATTGGGACTGGGAGGCACTTACTGTGGTGATTCTGGTCCTATCTCAAAGGTAGGTTTCAGTGTGGTGCTCGGCAACAGTTGCTCTGCACCTTGGCGTCCGGCCTACTGGCTTCTGCAAGGTTCTGTTTTGCCCCCCATGCTTTTCAACATATATATAAAGTCACTTGGAGAGGTCATCTGGAGGTTTAGGCTGAGTTGCCACCAATATGCAGATGATACTCTGCTCTATCTTGCACTTCCAGCAGATCCCATAGAAGCTGTGGAAATGGTGAACAGATGCCTGGAGATGGTTTTGGAATGGATGATGGCTAACAAACTGAAACTTAAACTTGACAAAATGGAATTGCTTCTGGTGGGGTGAAGGTCTGACCCAGGAACTGAAATATCTCCTGTTCTGGATGGAGTTGCACTCCTAAAAGAGCAGGTTCATAAGTAGAGGGTGCTCCTGGATATGGGCCTCCTGTTGGATAATTATGTGTCAGCAGTGGCCAGGATGCCTTTTACAATCTTCATCTGGTGAGCTGGCTGTAGATCTTCCCGGGGGGGGGAGGGTTGACATCTTATCACTGTGGTGCATGCCCTGATAACATCTAGATTAGATTACTGACATGTGCTCTATATGGAGCTCCCTTTGAAGACTGTCCAGAAGCCACAGTTGGTACAGAATGCTGTGGCCAAAATGTTGACTGCAGTTGATCATAGGGATTTCAGGTCCCATGGTGTGTATCGAATACACTGATCCGTCTAGAGACAGGTGCTATATCAGTGGAAGCCAAAATTACTTTAGCTTCACTCCAGTATTGGCTTAAACTAAATTTCCATCCTCATGGACTAACCCACTTGTTACTCTCAGACAACTTTCAATCTAAATGGCTGAGAGCAGTTCATAATAAATTATATGAGCTTGGTTTTTCCCCCCAAGCGATTTTGAGTATGCATTGGGATGTAGCAAAATCAGCCCTAAAACAGAGAATGATGGACATGGAGAGACAGACAGATCTCGGTAGATGTCCTAATTTTAGAGCCCCAGATTCTGTCAAATATCGCTTGCAACCCATGTCCTATTTATCACAGCTTGATACTCATAAGTTTAGGAAAACCTTCACATTAGCCAGATGTGAGGCTTTCCCCTCTGCGATGCTTGAGGGCAGATTCAAAAGGATCCCCACTGAATATAGACTTTGTCGATGCGGCTCAGGAGAGACAGAAACTATTGAGCACATGATGCTCAGCTGTAACTGGTATAACAAGATCCGTGACAAATATATTACTCCTCTTATAACAGATATGGTGGGACAATCAGGTGCTGAGCAGTGTAACCGATTGTTAATTAATGGGAACCGGACAATTACCGAAACTGTGGCAAAATTTTGGGTAGCATGCTACTGCATCCAAAATACACAATCAAATGTATAATAATAGTTGCCTAATAGTCTCTGTTTTATGTTCTTCTTTTACTTTATTACGCTCAACTGTATTTTTATAGAATTTTATTTTACTGTCCTAAATTCAGTTATATGAATGTTATGAATGTTATATTTAAGCATGTGTGTTCTATGGCTTGTTGCCGTAATAATAAATGACTGACTGACTGACTGACTGGTCATAGGGACCATATCATGCCTGTTTTGTTCCATCTACACCAGTTACTAGTTTGTTTCTGGGCCCAATTCAAGGTGCTGGTATTGATCTTTAAAGTTCTACATGTAGGGTTTAAAATAAATATATAAAATAATAAGTTCAATATTTTTATTTACTTACCTCATTTATAGCCTGACTTTCTTGCTGATACTTATTCATTAGGTCTCAAACGCTAAGAAAACAAACTAAAACCCAAACAAAAAGTCTGTGTGACTCATGACATACAGTAAACAATGTAGAAAGTGAGTTACAAAGACAATGCAGCAAAAGGAAGGTAATACATACATTAAACATTGCAGTAGTCAATCCTATACCCTTATAAAAGTAGTCAATCCTATACCCTGCTGAGCGGGTTCATTGTCCTTCAGTTCTAATCCCTTCATAAAAATGCCCTGCTGAGCAGTTCTATTTTTGCACATTCTGTGAAATGATACAAGTATGGGGGCCTCCCTGACTTCCTATACTCACGTAGTATATTACTTCACCTTTTGAGGCTAGTGATCATTTGACATGTTATTTATTTTTTTTTATTTAACCTTCGATTTATATACCGCCCTAACCCCCCAATGGGGGTCTCTGGGCGGTTTACAACTTGTAGTGCTAATCACTGGTGTGGTTCCCTAACTATGGGCACATTCTCAGGGGTTGGGTCAGCCTACCTAGCACCCCGGTGGTGGCGGCTCTTTCTTCTGATCTCCGGCTTCCTCGGGTCCTTCGGTCGGCAGGACGCTCCTCTCTCCAGCGCGGTTCTTTCAGCGAGGCAGCTGTCTCGGCGCGTGAGTTCGTCCCTCTCCGGCCTTGGCTCCGTCCGATAGGCTCCGCCGCGCCGGGAGATGACGTCATCCATGCCTCCTGCTGCTCGCGCCGGCCGCTTTCTGCTGGAACTCTGCAGGCCACCAGGGATCACTCTCGATGTTCCGCCGCGCCGCCTCATCTCTGCCGCCAGGATCCGCCGCCGCCATTGTTGTTGTTCTTTCGCCGCTGCCGCCACCGCACACCACATACCTCGGACGAGGGGGGTGCCCCTACCCTACTAAGGGTAGGTTCCCATTCATCTACTTGCCCTTTAACGGGCTTTTGAACCGCTGGGTGGGCGGGAGCTGGGATGCCGGCCGGGAGCTCACTCCGGCCACGGTGGGGCTCGAACAGATGTTCGGCCAGATGTTAAGGCAGGCTGCATTAACAGCCTGCACAGTAGAGGAAAGATCACCTATTAATATACATAATGACACTAACTTGTAATTTATAGGGGATATCATCATCTGATTTAAAATACAGTTTAAACCAAAAACCTTTAGATCACTTTGTCAGACTCAAAGTTGCCTCATTTATCTCTCTATCTCAATATATAATAATTCTGTTTTGGAGTAGCCACATTCCATGCACTCCCTCAGCCATTGGCCCGTCAGCCGCCACTCAAGAGTACTCTCGTGCCATTGGCCGGGTGCTGGGTCTCCTCCTCTTCCCCACCCACTCCCCCTTCAGCCACTGTGCCCTGCCAGAATTACTTGCAAATGGCTTTCTCTCTTGACAAAGACGCTTCTCCTACTTGCCTCCAATGTGGGACTAACTGTTCCCTTAGTGGCTGTTGGTAGGTGTCACGAAATGGCAGTTACCTGTGTTTGTAAGATGGCTGTGGTTCTTTGTTTAAAATGTTCCCCCATAAGGTTTAATTGAGCTGTAGTTCCAGAAAGGAGCCTGCAGGGGTATCACTCACTAGGTTGAATGGGGATTCCTCATTTGCTGGTCTACCGTTCCCAGCTGCCCCAAGGCCAAAAAATGTGGGGGGGAAAGGACTATCCCAAGGCAGTCTTCGTCCCTAGGAGGCAGCAGAAATTCAGACACTCCACAGTCGGCTGGACTGGGGAATGAATGGAAGTTTCCCTACCCACAACCTCCAGAGGTAGAGAGTATTGTGTGAGGATTGTGTTTAACCCCTGTTGATTTATGCCCTGTTGGTTCATACCGTGTACTCACTCCTACAGTGTGTGTGTGCTCCATAACTGTGTAAATAGTTGAATAAATTCTTTAATTTGGGCTAATAATCTGTGTTGTGCTCTGACCACATAGTCTCCCCTGCTCTGCACAATACCAAAAGAAGAAGAAGAGAAGAAGAGATTGGATTTATACCCCGCTCTTCACTTGGAGTCTCAGAGCGGCTTACAAACTCCTTTCCCTTCCCCTCCCCACAACAGACACCCTGTGAGGTGGGTGGGGCTGAGAGAACTCTGACACAAACTGCTCTTTTTCAAGGACAGCTGTGCCAGAGCTTGTGACTGACCCAAGGTCACATCAGCAGGTGCAAGTGGAGGAGGGGGGAATCAAACCCGGTTCTCCCAGATTATAGTCCGCACACTTAACCACTACACCAAACTGGCTCAGTGGGTAGCCCAGGGAGTGGGTAGCCCAGGGACGCAAGGAAAGTCCAGACCCTTGAGCTGCCAACTTTCCAGGGATCCCCCAAAGATTGGGGATTCCATCTCCAAATAGGGAGATTCGGCCAGAGGGGTCTCACTGTCCCTCTAAAAAAGCAGTGACGATTCCATGAGTGTCGGCAGCGAACTTAAGGAGTGAGATACGCCCACAGGACGAGGGTGGGAGGCAAACAGCTGAGTTGTAAACCGGAGCCCGTTTTGCCATGGTAGGCAACCAAGCTTGGTTCAGACAAAGGAAGGAAACCCTTTGCAGGCCTTTGTGAGGAACTCATTGGGGCCAGTCCTGACTAGGGTTGCCAGCTCCGGGTAGGGAGATTCCTGGAGATTTCCTGGTAGAGTCTATGGAAGCCAGGCTTTGGGGAGGGGAGAGGCCTCAGCTGAACAGAATGCCATACAGCCCACCTTCCAAAGCAGTTATTTTCTCGGGGGGGGGAGATCTGTTGTCTGGAGTTACGATACGTGGTGATCTTCAGGCTCCACCTGGAGGTTGGCTGCCCTAGGCACAGCAGTCAGTGCTTCAGAGCAGGGTCGGCTAGATCCAGGTTCTAGCTGTAGAAGCCGAGTGGGTGATTTTGTACCAATCACAGACTTTCAGCCTAACCTACCTCACAGGGTTGTTGTGCAAGTCAAAAGGGGGAGAGGAGAATGACGTAAGCTACTTTGGTCCCCATTGCAGAGAAAGACTACTTTTCCTCCTGGGAATCCACTGTTGCCAATCTCCAGGTGAAGGCTGGAGA